CCTGAGGGGGGCCCCCAGGGGGGGAAAGGGGCGGAGGAGGAGGAGGAGGAGGAGGAGAGTGGGGAAGGGCTGGCGCGGAAGCAGCAGCAGCAGCAGCAGCAGCAGGTGCTGCTGCAGCAGCAGCAGCTGCTGCAGCTCCAGCTGCTGCAGCAGGACCCCAGCAGACCCACCGAGGGCCTCCTCGCCCCCCCCTCTCCCTTCGCCCTCCTCACCCCCAAAATGTCCCCCTCGGGGGGCCCCCCGGGCACCCCCGAGGGGGGCCCCGGGGGGCCCCCCGGGGGGCCCCTCAGCCCGCTGAGCCCCTGGGGGGGCCCCCCCTGGGGGGCCCCCCCTGGGGGCCCCCCGGCCCTGCTCCTCTCCCCAGGCTCCCCCGCAGGCTCCCCCCTGGGGGGCCCCCTGGGGGCCCCCCTGGGGGCCCCCCTGGGGGGCCCCCCGGGGGCCCCCGATGAGGAAAGCACTTGGGAGGGGGGGGGGGCCCCCCTGGGGGCCCTGGTGGAAGTGAGGGGCCACAAAGGGCGGTGGAAGCGGCGGTGGGTGCGGCTGGCGGTGAGCCCGCAGCAGCTGCTGCTGCAGCAGCAGCAGCAGCAGCAGCAGCAGCAGCAGCAGCAGCAGCGGCGGGCGCTGCTGCTGGTCTACAGCAGCCCCTGGGAAGCCAAACCCAGGCAGCTTTATGAGCTGGGGGGCCCCGAAGGGTTTGCTGCTGTTTGCTGCTTCCGCCAGGGGCCCCCCACTACCCCCACAACAGCAGCAGAGACTTCTCCGGAAGCAGAAGAGGGCCCCTGCTGCTCCTGGGGGGCCCCCCCTGGGGAGCAGCAGCAGGACCCTGGGGGGGCCCCCCGGGGGGCCCCCTCGCCCCCCAGGGGGCCCCTCTCGGTACCCTTTTTGGAGGGGCCCCCCTTCCTAGACATTGACGCAGACTGGGGGGGCCTCCCGCCTCCTGCTGCTGCCCAGCTCGCCCGCCAGGGGGCCCCCCACGAGCCCGCTGCTGCTGCTCCGCCCAGCAGCAGCAGCAGCAGCAGCAGCAGCAGCAGCAGCAGTAACAGCAGCAACAGCAGCAGCAACAACAACAGCAGCAGCAGCAGCAGCAGCAGCAGTAGTAGTACGAGTCCCACCATTGGTATTAGTGCAGAGGGACCCTTCCTGCCGGCAAAGACTCCTGCGGGAGCTGCTGCTGCAGCAGCAACAGCAAAATCAGCAGCAGCAGCAGAAACAGCAGCAGCAGCAGAAACAGCAGCAGCAGCGAACACAGTTGCTGCTGCGACGCAGCAAACAATCCCCGGATGCTGCAAATGCACCACCCAAGACGCAGCCGCGCCGCCCAATGCAGCAGCAACTGCAGCAGCAACTGCAGCAGCAACTGCAGCAGCAACTGCAGCAAATGCAGCAGCAGCTGCAGCAGGGACGGAAGGGACAGCAGGGACAGCAGCAGCTGCGACGACAACTCCGCCGGTTGCAGCAGCAGCAGCAGCAGCACAAGGCCTTGCAGAAACGCCGCCGTCGTGCCCCGCAGCAGCAGCAGCAGCAGCAGCAGCAGCAGCGACAGCAGCAACAGCAGCAACAGCAGCAACACCCGCAGCAGCAGCAACAGCAGCAACAGCAGCAGGGGAGGCCGTAGTCCCCTTGCTCGCAGGGCTGCCTGGCCTTGCTGCGGGGGCCCCCCAGGCAGGTGGGGGCCCCCAGGGGCCCCTGGGGCCCCCAAAGTCTCCAGAGGGGCCCCCCTCTCCCCTGGGGTCCCCAGGGGGCCCCCAAGAAGTGGGTACTGTGTGGTTTTTGGTATTAAGGGGTTCTCCTTTAAGAGAGGATTTGTGGCTGCGTGTTGCTGTGGGGCCCGAGGGGGACTTGCTGCAGCAGCAGCAGCTGCAGCAGCAGCAGCAGCAGCTGCAGCAGCAGCAGCAGCAGCAGCAGCTGAAGGGGATGCCGCCCTGCAAAAACCGGGCCTGGCTCGAGGCTTTGCTAGCCGTCATGCGACAAGTCCAGCAGCAGCAGCAGCAGGTGCTGCAGCAGCAGATGCAACAGATGCAACAGCAGCAGCAGCAGATGCAACAGATGCAGCAGCAAATGCAACAGCAGCAGCAGCAGACGCAGCAGCAGACGCAGCAGCAGACGCAGCAGCAGACGCAGCAGCAGACTTGAGAAGCCAGTAGCTGCCCTCTCGGGTTGTGCGGCGATTTGTGCTGACGCGCAGCAGCAGCAGCAGCAGCAGCAGCAGCAGCAGCAGCAGCACAGAGCCAAATGGGCCAGGGGCTTAAGACTGATAGTGCAAGGGGGCCCCCCTGCATTAGGTGACCCTGGGGGCCCCCAGCTGTACCCTCGAAAAGGAGGCAGCAAATTAAAAGGGCCCCAGAGCTGCTGCTGCACTTCTCCAGGTTAGGTGGGGGCCCCGGCAGGGGCCCCCGGGGGGGCCCCCAGGGGCCCCCGGGGGGGCCCCCAGGGGCCCCCGGGGGGGCCCCCAGGGGCCCCCGGGGGAGCCCCCAGGGGCCCCCGGGGGGCCCCCAGGGGTCCCCGGGGCCCCCTCTAGCTCAGCTGCCCGTGGGCGCAGCACATGTGGGGCCCCCCAATCTAGGGGGCCCCCCGCAGGGTAAGGGGGGCTCCTGCAAGCTAAGGGGGCCCCCAGAGATTAAGGGGGGCCCCTCGAGATAAGGAGGGACCCGCAAGGTAAGAAGGGGGGCCCCCAGGGGGCCCCCAGGGGGGCCCCCAAGGCCCGCCGGAACATAGGCGGAGGGCCCTGGTGAGGGCACAAAGGCTGCGTTTGAATATTAGAAAAATATATAATTAACTTTAAAGAAGAGGGAGGGCCCTGGGGGCCCCCAGGGGGCCCCCGGGGGGCCCCCGGGGGCCCCCGGGGGGCCCCCAGAGGCTGCAGACGAGTCGTCTTCGCCGCGGGCTTGGGGGCCCCCGGGGGGCCCCCAGGGGCCCCCAGTACCCAGGGGCCCCCAGAGCCCAGGGGCCCCCAGGGGGCCCTACTACTCCCTTGAAGTTCATATTAGTGTTTGGAGACCGAAGAGTAAATGCGAGGCTGCACCAACAGTAGCGGCAGCAGCAGCAGCAGCAGCAGCAGCAGCAGCGGCAGCAGCAGCAGCAGCAGCAGAGACTTGCTGCAGCAGAAAGCACAGAGGGCCATTCCTGTGTGGAGGCCCCGTATTGCTTGCTGCTGCTGCTGACACAGCTTGCGTGGGGGCCCCCCAAGAGACAATGGGGCCCCAGAGGGGCCCCCTAGGGGCCCCTCTGGGGCCCCTAGGGGCCCCCTGGGGGTCTCCCAGGGGCCCCTAGAGGGGCCCCCTGGGGGCCCGTCTAGGGGCCCCCTGGGGGCCCCTAGAGGGGCTCCCAGTGGGTCGCTAGGGGCCCCCCCTAGGGGGCTTCAGATGGGGCCCCTAGGGGGCCCCCGGGGGCCTTCAGGTGGCCCTTGGGGGCCCCCTAAGGGGCACCGGGGGGCCCCCAGGGGCCCCCCGAGGGGCCCCTGGGGGCCCCAAATGTTTGAAAAGACCTTTGGGGGCCCCCGGGGAGAAAAGAGCCGCGCAGGCGAAAACAGAGACAGAAAGAGACACGTGAAGTTCAAAGAAAAAATGAAATAAGAAAAATAAAAATAAAAATAAAATGGAGTTTAAAATGAGTTAAAGTATTTAATCAAGTAGAAATAAAATGTTTAAAATGAATTAAAGTATTTAATTAAATAGAAATAAAATGGAGTTTAAAATGGATTAGAGTACTTAATTAAATGAGAGTAAAATGGAGTTTAAAATGGATTAAAAAAGTATTTAATTAAATGAGAATAAAATGGAGTTTAGAATGAATTAAAGTATTTAATTAAATAAAAATAAAATGGAGTTTAAAATGAATTGAAGTATTAAATAAATAGAAATAAAATGGAGTTTAAAAGGAATTAAAGAAGTATTTAATTAAACGAGAATAAAATGGAGTTTAAAATGAATTAAAGTATTTAATTAAATAAAAATAAAATGGAGTTTTAAATGAATTAAAGCATTTAATTAAATAAAAGTAAAATGGAGTTTTAAATGAATTAAAGAAGTATTTAATTGGAGGTTTTAAGTGACGAAAATGAAACAAATAAAAGAACCGAGGGAGACACAAAAAGGAGGAAAAGATATAGAAATGAATTAGAAATAAATTAGAAATAAATTAAAATTAAATTAAAATTAAAAATAAATTAAAAATAAATTAAGAATAAATTAAAATTAAATTAAATTAAAAGTAAATTAGAAGCAAAGTTGAAAGTTTTGGAGAAGTGCTGAGAGAGTTCAGAGAGTTTGGAGGTGTGTAGAAAGTGAAAAGATTTAAAATGATTTAAATTGAATTAAAATAATTAAATTATTTTATTTATTTTAATTCAATTTAATTAATTTAATTAATTAAATTTAAATTAATTAAAAAGAATTAAAAGAAATAAAAGAAATAAAAGAATTAAAAAAACTAAAAAGAACTAAAAGGGTACTATAGTATATCTGCCTTTCGCTATCGCTAGCATTTCCGATGTGCTGCAGCAGCAGCAGCAGCAGCAGCAGCAGCAGCAGCAGCAGGGCTTCTGCAGCAGCAGCAACCAGCGGGCTCTACAGCAGCAGGCGCAAGCCTGCTGCTCCGCAGCAGCAGCAGGGCTCCGTGCTGCTGCTGCTGCTGCTGCTGCTGCTGCTGCTGCAGTGATGGCCTAGCTCTGAGGGCCCCTAGGGGCCCCTGGGGGCCCCTAGGGGCCCCCGGGGGGCCCCCAGGGGCCCCCAGGGGGGCCCCCAGGGGCCCCCAGGGGGGCCCCCAGGGGCCCCCGGGGGGCCCCCTGGGGGGAAGGCCCCTGGCCCAAGAAGTGACCCTGGGTACTTCGGGCCTTGGGGGCCCCTTGGGGGCCCCTAGGGGGCCCCCTTAAAAAGGGTACTGGAAGAAAGAGTGGAAAAGGAAATAAAAATAAAAAGTTTGGAGAGTTTGGAATTAATTGGAGTTGCATTTATTTGGATTTAGAAAGAAATGAAAAAGAAGACAAGAGCCTTTTGCTGCAGCTTGCTGCTGCTGCTGCTGCTGTTTTGCTGCTGCTGAGAAAAGTCGAAGCCACAAAAGCTGCCTTTGCTGCAGCAGAATCCAAGCAGAAGCAGCAGCAGCAGCAGCAGCTGCTGCTGCTGCTGCTGCTGCTGCGGCTGCTGCTGCGGCGCCGGCGGCCCGGCGGCCTCGAGACACCAGAGTGGTCCTGTGCTGCTGCTGCTGCTGCTGCTGCAGCAGCAGCAGCAGCAGCAGCAGTCTTTTGGTTTTATAAATTGAACTTTTGGAGACTTTGAATTTATTTATTTTTATTTGCTTTCTAGAAAAACTGCCCCTGGGATCGCCTCCGATCCCGGGATCGTCTCCGTCTCCGGGATCGTCTTCGGGATCGTCTCCGGGATCGTCTCCGGAGGACCCCACACTTTGCGCTGCGGTGTACGTACACCTGAACGCCAATGGCCCGGCGAGCCTGCTGCGTTGCTGCTGCGGCGGCCTTGTGTCTCTTTTGGGCGCAGCTTGCTGCTGCTGCAGCCCCCGAGCAGCAGCAGCAGCAGCAGCAGCAGCAGCAGCAGCAGTTGCTGCCGGCAGCAGCAGCAGCAGCAGAGGCGGCGCCAGAGCAGCAGCAACTCGCGCTAGTTCCACTCGCTGCTGCAGCGGCTCCCGCAGCAGCAGCGCCTGCAGCAGCAGCAGCAGCAGCAACTGCATCAGCGCCAGCAGCAGCAGCAGCAGCAGCAGCAGCAGCAGCAGTGGCCCCCGAGCGGGCCTGGGACATGCTGGTTGGAGACACTTTTGCTACAGTTTGGAGACAGCTGCAGGCCTTTTACGGGGACTCAAAAGCAGCAGCAGCAGCAGCAGCAGCAGCAGCAGCAGCAGCAAAACGGGGGGCCCCCCGGAGCAGCAGCAAAAAGGTAAAAGCAGCAAAAGCAAAAGACAAAAACCCAAAAAAGAAAAAACGCGTTTCTTTCCCGCTGCACCTCTTCAAGGGTTTCCGCCGCAGGGGGGCCCCCAAGAAGGGCCCCAAGGGGGCCCCCCAGGGGCCCCAGGGGGCCCCCCCGGGGGCACCTTCAGAAGAGTCTGAAGGAGAGACTGCAGAGGGGGCCCCCCAGGGGGCCCCCCAGGGGGCCCCCGAGGGGGCCCCCCCCGAGGGGGCCCCCCCCTCTGGGGGCCCCCAGGGGCCCCCGAAGCCCCCCCGGGCTTTTGCTGCTGAGACCCCACAGCAGCAATCCCAAAGAAAGTCTTTTATTAATTTGCGGCTGCAGCAGCTAATGGAGTCCATTGACATTTGGGCTGCTGCAGTTGAGGAGGCCCAAAAGGCCCAAGACTCGGGGGGCCCCCCAGGGGGGCCCCCCGGGGGGGCCCCCGAGGGGGCCCCCGGGGGGGCCCCCGAGGGGGCCCCCCAGGGGGCCCCCGGGGGGGGCCCCGAGGGGGCCCCCGGGGGGGCCCCCTCTGCTGCAGTGGAGGCAGCAAAGAAGCAAGCTTTGGGGGCCCTTGCGGAGGCCCAAGAGGCCCTTCAAATGGGGCCCCAGGAGTTCACTGAGGCCTTTTATAGGGCCCACCCGCCGAGGGGGCCCCTGGCGGGAAAGGGGGGCCCCCCGGGGGGCCCCCCCCCCCGGGGGGCCCCCCTGAGGCCCCTGGGGCCCCTGGAAGCTGCTGCGCTGCAGCGCACTGCAGCAGAAGCAGCAGCACTGCAAAGTGCTGCTGCAGGGAAGGCCATCAGCCCCCAAGTGCTGCAGCAGCTGGAGCAGCAAAGAGCAGCAGCAGTTTTGGCTTTGGAGACTGCAGCAGCAGCAACTCGGCGGCGGGCGGAGGCCTACCTGCAGGTGCTGCAGGAGACTGCAGCAGCAGCAGCAGCAACTCTGGACCAGCAGCAAATGAAAGAACTCAACAGAGCAGCAGCAAAGTGGCAGCAAAGAAAGAAAAGGGCAGAAGAGGCCCTCAAAAGGCTCAGCGACGCCGTGCGCAGCCAGCCCCCAGCAGCAGCAGCAGCAGCAGCAGCAGCAGCAGCAGCAGCAGCAGCAGCAGCAGGGGAGGCGGGGCAGCAGAGCGCAGCAGCGGCCCAGGACCGCCCAGCAGCAGCAGCGGAGGAGGGGGACCGGCCCGCCGCAGCAGCAGAAGACCAACCCGCAGCAGCAGCAGCAGCAGCAGCAGCAGCAGCAGCAGCAGCAGCTGAGCCTCCCCACTCCCCTGCAGCAGCAGCAGAGGGCCCCCCAGCTGCTGCTGCTCCCGAGGGGCCCCCCGCGGGATCGCCTCCGGGAGACGATCCCAGCAAAGCCGATCCCGATCCCCAGGGGGGCCCCCCTAAAACCCCCCTCAAACGCAGCCAGCTGCTGCTGCAGGTGGGGCCCCCGGGGGCCCCCCTCAAGGGCCCCCGACCCCTGGGATCGTCTGGGATCGTCTTTGTGGGGTCCCCAGGGGCCTCCCCAGAAGTCTCCAGAAGGGTCCTGGGGGGCCCCCCCCGGCCCGCCCCCACAGGGGGCCCCCAGGGGGCCCCCACAGTAAGGGCCCCCATCCCTATAGGGGACCCCCAGGGGGCCCCCTCGGGGTTCCAAAGTGAACCCAGGGGGGCCGAGGGGGCCCTAAGATTGGACTTGGGACTTGAGGGGGAACTGCCTGTGAGCCCTGTGCAGCCAGCAGCAGCAGCAGCAGCAGCAGGAGCAGCAGCAGCAGGTGCAGCAGCAGCAGAAAGGCCCGCGTCCTACGGCGGAGCAAAGACACAAAGACCCACAGACCTCAGGATGCTTCACAGAGACTAAAGCAGCAACTCACACACTAATTGGCTAGCTAGCTAGCTAGCTGGCTAGCTGGTTAGCTAGCTAGCTAGCTGGCTAGCCAGCTGGTTAGCTAGCTAGCTAGCTGGCTAGCTGGCTAGCTAGCTGGTTAGCTAGCTAGCCAGCTGGTTAGCTAGCTGGCTAGCTGGCTAGCTGGCTAGCTAGCTGGTTAGCTAGCTAGCTGGTTAGCTAGCTAGCTGGTTAGCTAGCTAGCTGGCTAGCTAGCTAGCTGGCTAGCTAGCTAAGTGGCTAGCTAGCTAGCTCGTTTTTTAGCCAGCTGGCTGCAGCACGCACCTGGGCCGGGATCACTTGAGGGAGAAGCAGCAGCAGCAGCAAAGGGAGAGGCAGCAGCAGCAGCAAAGGGAGAGGCAGCAGCAGCAGCAGCAAAGGGAGAAGCAGCAACAGCTGCGGTAAAGCAGAAAAGGGAGAAGCAGCAGCAGCAAAGAGAGAAGCAGCAGCAGCTGCAGGAAAGGTTGCAGCAGCAGCCGCAGCAGAGGGAGAAGCAGCAGCAGTAGCAGAGGGAGAAGCAGCAGCAGCAACAGAGGGAGAAGCTGCAACAGCAGCAGCAAAGGGAGAAGCAGCAGCAGCAGCAAAGGGAGATGCGGCAGCTGCAGCAACAAAAGTAGAAGCTGCAGCAGCAGCAAAAAGAGCAACAACAGCAACAGCAGCAGCCAGCCTGAGCCCCACTAGCTAGCTAGCTAGCTAGCTAGCTGGCGTTTTGCTGCTGTGCTGCGCAGCTCTGCTGCTGCCTCTCCACCTGCAGCCAAGGCCACGCAGCTAGCTAGCTAGCTAAATGGCTAGCTAGCAAGCTAGCTAAATGGCTAGCTAGCAAGCTAGCTAAATGGCTAGCTAGCAAGCTAACTAAATGGCTAGCTAGCTAGCTAGATGGCTATCTATCTAGCTAGCTGGTAAGATAAGTAGCTCGGCTAACTAACTAGCTAGCTAGGTGGATAGCTGGGTGGTTAGTGAGCTGGCTAGCTGGCTGGCTAGCTAGCTAGCTAGGTGGCTAGCTAGCTGTGCAACCCCTTACTACTTGGGGAGACTCAGTGCCAGCGGCTACGCGTGCACTGCTCTCTGCTGCTGCTGCTGCTGCAGTTGCTGCTGCTGCTGCTGCTGCTGCTGCAGTTGCTGCTGCTGCTGCTGCTGCTGCTGCTGCTGCTGCTGCTGCTGCTGCTGCTGCGAAAGAGAAAAGAATGGCCGTTCCGAGGTTGTCCCTTTGGGCTTCCGGGGAGAGACGAGAGCTGCTCTCTGTCTCTAAACCCTAAACCCTAAACCCTAAACCCTAAACCCTAAACCCTCGGCAGGCGGCCCCTGGCGTGGCCGCAGCTGCCAAACCCTAAACCCCAAACCCTAAACCCTAAACCCTAAACCCTAAACCCTGGGGCTGCTTTATTTTTTTCTTTCTGCAAACCACTTTGTGACTTTAGTTTTCTTTCCATTGGGCTGCTGCAGCAGCAGCTGTTTGCTGCGGCCTTTCTTTTGGCTGTCGCTTTGCTGCTGCAGCTGCTGCTGCAGCTGCTGCAGCCGCTTCGCATGCAGCAGCGTCTTGTGCATACTCTGAAACGCTTTGCTGCTGCTGCTGCTGCTGCTGCTGCTGCCTTCGTTTGCTGCTTCGCTCTCCGCCTCGCTGGCCGAACCGCTGCTCCCTCCTGCTGCTGCTGCTGCTGCTGCTGCTGCTGCTGCTGCTGCTGCTGCTGGTTTCCCCTTTGGCTTCTTAGCCAGCTGCATCCAGCGGCACTCGGACTCGCTCTCACTCTCGTCCGACGTATCTGCTGCTGCTGCTGCTTGCTGCTGCTGCTGCTGCTGCTGCTGCTGCTGCTGGGGTTCTTCGTCGGAGTCTGCTGCTTCTGTGTCTGACTCGAGGAAACAGTGCTGCCTCTTTGCTGCAGCAGCAAAACCCTGAGACAGATTTGCTGCTGCTCCTTTGAGTCTCTTTTGGAGAGTTTGCTGCTTGAGCTGCAGCAGCGCAGCAGCAGTTGTGGTGGCCCGCTGCTGCAGCAGCAGCAGCTGCTTCTTGGTCTGCTGCTGCTTCCTGTGGCTGCGCCGGGAGACGAAGCTGCTGCGGGCTGCGGCGCGGAGGGCGTCTGCTGCTGCTGCTGCTGCAGCAGCAGGGGACTTGGCAGCAGCAGCAGCAACAGCAGCAGCAGCATCCCTCTCAGCCAGCAGCAAAACCCCCCCTTCTTTGCTGCGGGGGGCCCCCAGGGGGCCCCCCTCCTGGCGAATCCTGAAGAAGTCGCAGCTAAACTCCTGAGGGTTTGCTGCTCTTGCTTTTTCAGCTAGCTGCTGCAGCAGCTGCTGCTGCTGCTGGTACCTCCGGGCCCGCTGCTGCCAGTCTTGCTTCTTCTCCAGAAACCCCCGCTGCTGCTGCCGCTGCTGCTGCTGCCCCCTTTCTTTGTAGCTCCGCCGCCGCACCAAATTCTTCAAAGAAGCCATCTTCAGCAGCAGCAGCAGCAGCAGCAGCGGCAGCAGCAGCAGCAGCAGCGGC